CTTATGTTTGCTATATAGTTTAGCATAAAAGTGGCTAAAACTATCCTCCAGAATGTGATTGCTGAAAACTTTGCAAACAGCTAAACAGCCTGCAAGGAGCTAATTATCAAACTGATACCAACTGTGAAAATTTTCCAGCATTCTAACAACCCATGGGGATGTTTTTAAGAGAAATAAACTAAGTGGCTAAGTGTGTTGCCTGTGGAGGAGCTGAAGCTCCAACTAGACCTCCTGAGAATTTATTCTGTATTTTCAAGGTCTGGTGCATTGTATATCTTAGGCTAACTGCTTGAATATAGTCAGAGTTTGTATGGACCGTGGAAGCATTTAATTTATTATTATTATTATTTGATTTTTGGTCTGTTAAATTGAAATCTCTTCTCTGGAGATTCAGCTGGGAGCCAAAACAATGAGTCTATTTAACATTTAGTTCTCCAAGCTACCACCTGCCTTCTCTTGTGTTGTTCATTAAAAGGTTTTTAATTGGCCATTAATGCTGGAGACATTGCATTACTTTGTAAGATAAAATGAGCACACATCTTAAAAAGATATGTCTATGCGAAAATAACCTTTGCTGCTGGTGAATTTACCACAAGCAGGTCCAAGTGGTTCCTCGGTGTGTCCTGTCCTACAGTGATAATTATAACCTGTGGTCTCTATAGCTAAAATGCTCATAACAGCCACCAGCTCTTCTTAATTTGAAGCCAAGAATTGGTGCTGAGAAGTGACTGTGTTCTTCACTAGTTAATTACAACACGGTCTGACCTTGTTCACGAAGCTACAGCATCTAAGCTAACTCGGAGGAGCCACAGAAGCAACAGCAGAGAGAACAAGCATCAATCAAGCCAACTGCTCGGCATTCCGGTGATAAGGCAATCAGCTGATTCAGCGGAGCTGAATGGTCTGCTTTTGAACTTGACGTTCCGCACAGCGCAGCTCTGACTACACCTGCTCAATACGGTCTCGGAGACGCCCTCAGCAGCATCAGCAATCACCTGGAAATTTGTTAGACATGCAAACTCTCTGCTCCCAGCCCAGACTTCCTGAGTTAGGAGCTCTGGGGCTGGCGCTCAGCAATTCGCGCCTTCACCAGCCCTACAGGTGACTCTGATGCCTGCTGACATCCAGAACCCATCTGTTTCTTCCACTACTTTGTGGGAAATAGACTCGAAATATGCTGATTTCAGTGCAAGTACTTGTTGAAATTCATCTAGATGAAGGGTCTTGTTCATGGAAAATGTGTATTGTAGACACAAAGGATTTCAAAAATTCTTACATCAAAATAAATGCCTTTTAATTCCATTTTCTCACACACTTAACAAAAAATAAATGCTTTTTATTTGAAAGACAGAGAGAGAGAGAGAGAGAGAGAGAGAGAGAAAAAGAGTTCTTCCATTTGCTGGAATGGTCGCAGCAGCTGGGAACGACCCAGGCTGAAGCCAGAAGCCTGGACCTCGACTGGAGTCTCACACGGGGATGGCAGGGACCCGAGTACTGCCTCCTGGGGTTGGCGTCCACAGGAGGCTGGAATCGGAAGCAGAGCTAGGACTCAAAGTCAGGCTCCCTGGTAGGGGGATCTGGGCAAAGCAAGCAGTATCCTAACCACTGCACCAGACACCCACCCCCACGAGCTCCTGGAAGTCCCCTTGTATACATCAAGTAATTAAACAGTTTAAAAAGAAGTAAAACTCGGCCGGCGCCGCGGCTCACTAGGCTAATCCTCCGCCTAGCGGCGCCGGCACACCGGGTTCTAGTCCCGGTCGGGGCGCCGGATTCTGTCCCGGTTGCCCCTCTTCCAGGCCAGCTCTCTGCTGTGGCCAGGGAGTGCAGTGGAGGATGGCCCAGGTGCTTGGGCCCTGCACCCCATGGGAGACCAGGAAAAGCACCTGGCTCCTGGCTCCTGCCATCGGATCAGCGCGGTGCGCCGGCCGCAGCATGCCGGCCGTGGCGGCCATTGGAGGGTGAACCAACGGCAAAGGAAGACCTTTCTCTCTGTCTCTCTCTCTCACTGTCCACTCTGCCTGTCAAAAAAAAAAAAAAAAAAAAAAAAAAAAAAAAAGTAAAACTAATTATCACCTAGTAAAACGCAATGCTCCAACCATTTCATAAAATCCTTAAAAAATATCCCTGACAAAATGCCGTTTCAAAGAAGGCTGGCCTCAGGAAGGCTGTGTTTACTGACTGTTAGATTTTTCTCTGTTCCTTCTGAGCTTTGGAAATCAATGAAAACTCCATGTATGAGAGCTGAGTTTTGTTCACTGGATTCAGGGATTGTATACATGTGGTATCAACAATGGTCTTTACTTCAACTGTGAATTTATCATTACCTATGTTGCGTTTTCAGGTCAGACGCACCAGTGGCTTAGCAGTCTTGATTTCCTTAGTTAATAGGCTAGCTCGCACTTGAGGCGCTGTGGGTTTGGAGCCCACAATGATGCCAGTGTAATTTTGGAATGCTGGGAGTTCAGGAAGACTCATGCAGATGCCGCCAGGTTGCAGGGAATGCCAGAAAAGGCAGACTTTTGAAGAGCACATTTCGTTAATGTTTAAGCTTTTTAAAAATTATGATTTTAGAGGGAAAGCACCAAATGTTTTACTGTAGACTCATTTAACCAATGCATTAATAAACTAATTATGTTGTTAATTAAATGGCTTCAACACACAGAAATGTTTGAGAGTGGATTGAGGGCATACTAAGTTATGTTTAAAGATGAACTCTTCTTGCGGCCTGGTCTCTGAGGGTGAATGAATCTGACCTGGACTCAAATTGCTCTCTAATTTCATTCATTGCTTTCTCTCACCGGGAAGCAGCCTGTCTTTTGCTTACACGGTTGATTTCGCCTCCTTTCTGTGATGTGAGCGCCACCTCGAGGACATTGTAGGAAACCTTCATTTCCTTTCTGAAAATCAGAACTGTCCTTGCTTAAATCCCTCAGAACCCTTGTCAGCGATAGTATTGTAAAAGAGAAAACAGATCTCCACTTCCAGATATTTTACAAAGGCCAAGTTTTCCAGTCCTAACATCATCTAAGTCTTTCATTTATTTTTAATTAACTTACATTAATACATGTGTTAGGGGACTGGTGCTGTGGCATAGCAGGTAAAGCTGCTTCCTGAAGTGCCAGCATCACATATGGGCACCGGTTCGAGACTTGGGTGCCCCACTTCTGATCCACCTCCCTGCTAATGTGCCTGGGAAAGCAGTGGAAGATGGCCCAAGTGCATTAGCCTTTGCACCCACGTGGAAGACCTGGAAGAAATTCCTGGCTCCTGGCTTCAGAATGGCCCGGCTCTTGCCATTGCTGCCATTTGGAGAGTGAACCAGCAGATGGACGATCTTTCTCTCTGTCTCTCCTCTCAATGTAACTTTGTCTTTAAAATAAATCAATCTTAAAAAGAAAGCACATCTAAGGACAATTGTTCTATCATAACTGTATTATAGGGTTTGTCTAGAGATAACTATTTAAAATAATTTCATTGACCTATTTATTTTTTAATTTATTTATTTGATTTCTTTATTTTTATTGATTGTTTTTTTAGATTAAATTTTTTTGTTTATTTGAAAGGCAGAGTTACAGAGAGGCAGAGGTAGAGAGAGAGGGAGAGGTCTTCTATCCACTTTTTACTCTCCAGATGTCCACAACGGCTGAAGCTGGGTCAATCCAAAGCCAGGAGCTTCTTCCAGGTCTCCCACGTGGGTACAGGGGAGCTGTACTGGAAGTGGAGCAGCCGAGACTTGAACCGTCACCCATGTGGGATGCTGGCATCACAGATGACAGTTTTACCTGATATGCCACAATGTTGGCTCCAGAAAATGAAATTCAAAGATAAGTTTATGAAGCTGGTGAAGTGGTATAGCGGGTTAAGCTGCTGCCTACAGGGCTGGCATTCCATAGGTTGCCAGTTCAGAGTCCCAGTTGCTCCACTACAATCCAGCTCCCTGCTAATGGGCCTGGGAAAACAGCAGAAGTGGCCCTAGTGCTTGGGTTCCTGCACCCATAAGGGAGACCCAGAAGAAGCTCCTGACTCCTGGCTTCAGATTGGCCCAGTTCTGGTCATTAGGGCCATCTAGGGGAATAAATCAGCAGTTGGAAGATCTCTCTCTCTCTTTCCCTGTAACTCTACCTTTCAAATAAATAAATAAATCTTAAGAAATGCTGTTTACTTGAGTGCCAAAATTTTGAAGTACATACACATGGTTTTTTTCATAAGATGCATTTTTTTATGAACTTTTGGAGATCCTTCATAAGTGGAGACTACAACTATTTCTTTATCTAAAAAAAAACTTAATTAAAAAGAAATGTTTGAAAGGCAGACAGAGATTGAGACAGGAACAGAGAAGATGTGCTTTTCACCGATTCACGCCAAATGCCTTCAAAAGCTGGGGCTGGGCGAGGGGAAGCCAGAAACTCAGAACTCAATCCAGGTCTCCCGCTGTGGGTGACAGGGACCCAAGCACTTCATCCATCACCTCTTTCTCCCAATACATCCATTAACAGACAACTGGAATTGGACGCACTCTAGTGTGGGATATAGACGTCCCAAGCACTGCCTTGACGTGTGTGCCAATCATTCATCCCCAAATCTTATCTTTTAATTCTACTTTACACGAAGCTTTTGAAATACCCTTGTATTAAGTAGCTTAATTGAAAAAAGATGACAATTTACTGACTTCCTTCAATTATGTTTTGTGGATCAATTTTAAATATGGGTGACTTTTGATATTGACTTGCTTGAGATTAAATAGAGTGTTGTTGCTGGACTTTCAAGAGGCTGCACAAGGAAATCCATATAAGTGGACAGTGCGGTGACATTTCCCTGCCTATATGCTTTCGGATCGAAAGATAATTGCCGTTGACCGCTTCACCTCAATGCTCGGTGGGCAGAGAGCAGCATTTCTAGGGTTATGAATTTCTTTTTACAAGTAGACTTTATCTGACAAAATACTCTTTGAAGGCATGATCCATTCTGACCTGTCTCCAATTCTTTTATTTGTTTAGCTTATCCAACAACAGTGCTAACACATACATCAACAACGTCGAAAGTAGCGTACTTCAAGAGGAAGTATGCAGAAGAGGAAGATTTACATCAGGATTACCATGGGTATTTTCCAAAAGTAAGCGTAGATTGCTTACATTGCTTTTCTTTCATTTCTACCATTGCTCTGAGGAGCAGAAAGCTTCAAGGTTTGCATTGTCCTGCATGTGATTTTATCGACTGTGTTTGTTTTTCAGCACCTGATAATAGCTGAGGACAGGACTTGCATTCTCAAACTTTCTCTGGAAAAGCTGAGGTTTCTTGAAGACCCAGAAACCTATTTGAGAAGGTCTGTGTTGATTAACAATCTGCTGAGGAAGATCCATCTAGAGACCGAGAAAGAGAGCTATGCATACTTTAAAGAAGCTCCCTGTTATAAGGCTGCGTATTCTGATACAAGAAAACGGCTGAAGTTTATGGTGCAGGAATGCTGTTCTCAGTCTCTGTATTACGAGGAGCTGCATTCATATCATATTGTGCCTTACGCTGCGGAGAATGCCATTTATGGGCTGGGCTACACTAGTAGCCACTTGGAGCAGAATTCTCAGTTGCTTATTTATAAAATGAATTAAAGTAACTGTTCAGTCCATTGATACTTTGTTTCTAAATGCCTGAACTGTTTATAGTGAAGATGTTAATATAAGGCACTAATGACCAGTGCACTTGATATCAAAGATGAGATGCATGCTGAATGGATTGGCCAGAAACATGGTTATTACTCAGCAGTTCTTAGTATCATCAAATTGAATTGAAAATACGTCCACATGTTATGTTATGAGACAGTGAATTAGTGCTTTAGAAGCCAAGATTTTTTTTTTTTAAGTGTGGAGGAAGGTACTTATATCAAGCTGTTAATACAGATTAAGACTGTTAAACTCCCTGTTTCCAAATTCTACCAGACTTGGTGAAGAGTACCAAACAAGTGACAGATTAAATTGATAGTGTGTCTCTGAGAATTAAGGGTGGATCAAGTTTCATTTTCTGTACATGACAAGAAGGGTTTGACCCTCTCTGAGAAGCTTTGGGTTGGTAAATACTGTGCCAAAAATCATTGTCTGGCACCGTTCCTCTTTCGCTGTTAGTGAGAACTCAAGATGGGGCAAGGGCACTCTGCAACTTAACTGCTGAATGTAACAACCACATTTCTCCAAACTGATCCATTTCTCTCTTTTTTAAATTCTTGGAAGACTTTTTCTCTTTAAAAGTGAAATAAAAAAAAAAATGTAAGAGGGCCTTGCAGATGGGCTTATCTTTAAGTTGGTTAAACTTTGTGATGAGTTTTTAGTGAAGAGTTTACATTTTATTTATGATGTCATTTTTAATAGGCTGCGAAGCTCAGGAAAAGGAAAAATTGGTTTTCAATGGGTTAGCAATTTTCAAAAATCTCATCTGCAGAAGTTATTGAGAACAACGGAAATTCTACAAGATGCTGTTTCCTCATCTAGCTAAGTGTGCATTTAAGGTTACCTGGGGGGACTTTGCACTGATTTTTGTATAATAGTTGATCATTCGCCATTTGACAAGATGTTTCAGAATGCCTTTGGTGGTGAAGTTCAGATAACTCCCTATATTTTTCAATTTGAAAGATAACTATTTAACATGTGGAGTAGACTCCCAAAACTGTTTGAAGTGGTTCATGAAATTCTTTGAAGTTTGAGTGAGATGTTTGATTTCAATGTTTAGAGTTTTGTCCTGTGGAGCATACTGTTTAAAGAATTTTCACTAAATGATCACACAGATTGGGAAAACGAGGTGCCAAAGGTGTGTTTAAGGAGATACCAAAGACTCAAAGATGAGTGTTAGGAGGACTATGACAATGAAGACAGGGATGCAAACTAAGGATTGCACGAGATGTGGAAGAATATTTTTGAAAGGTTTTGGAACAGTTTGCTTACTAATGCGCTTTCAGAGGACTTTATACCTAATAATGATTACCAATGATTTAAATGAAGATATTACAGACCTTCTGGGATCATATTCCATTACAAATTTAAATCTAGAGACTTGTCAACATAGTATCTTCTAAGAGGTCAACTTGGAACCAACACAGCCATTTTCTATTCAAGATAATTTTTTTTCTAGTTATGCTTCAGTCCTTGGTCTCTAATCAGTCAGTAGGGTGATTAACATGGGTGCATTTGGTAGAAAGAAGTCTAGCATCCCAATTAACGTGCACAAAGATAGATGATTGATAAAACTGTCATGCTTCTAGTTAATTGCTTAAGCAAAATTAGAAAAAAAATCACTTTTTAGAAACTGAAAAAGTATAATTGAAGTTAATTTTTAAAGGCAATTTACTATGAATGGTAGGACAGATTTGAATTACAGATATTTAAAAATTAATTTAAGGGAAAAATTTGGCATCAAAGTTCAAAAATTTTATTTCACTGCTCATAAAACACCTTACTTCTCATGAGGCTTCTTTTAAGACATAGATGTCTTAAACAAAAATGGTATTGATTGAAAGACTCTAAATTCATACATAATTTAAAAAGTATGATTAGAAATTTTTTAAAACTGAAGTGAATATTTGGCTTGGTTTAGTATCCTGTCTATAAAAAAGAAAAGACACCAATGCTAATAGATGTGACTTAACGACAATGCCAGATATTGAAATTGGTTGAGGACAGATACAGATATATTGGAATGGAAAAAAGAGGGAGAGAAAAAATCACTACAATAGTGTGAAATTATAATTTATATTGTATGTCAGAAACCTTGAAGCAAGAACTCTTGGGCAATGAGCAAGCAGCAGGTGTAAAAGTCTATTTTATTTGATGACATCATTCACCGTGCTCTCTGAGCCTTACATACATGTGTAAAGAAGGAACTGTCTTAGAAATCAGTGATATTTGTGAATATGCTTTTTAAAATGTGTTAATTCAGAACAGGTTATTTAAAATATCTTTTAGGGCATTTCTTTTTTTTTTCCTGCAAACAACTCATAGATAAGGAGTTGACTAACATTATTTTGATTTAAAAAATAATTCATATTTGAACGATGTAAGCATGTCTGAGCTAACCAGAGGGTTGCTGTCTTTGTACCATGGCCAACTGATAATGTCAGGGAGTCTACACCGGCTTGCTCTGCTTCCCCTCTTACATGCTCCGTTATGGAGAGCTACAAAGGGCAGGAGACCAGCTCCATCTCCTGAACGTGGACATTCTTTCTCTGATGACAGGAGCCATCAGTAGGACAAGGAGAGGGGGTGGGCAGTCTGAGTGCCTTCTGTAATGCTGATCCCTTTTATGGGGACCTAACCAGCCCACAGGCCTACCAGAGAAGAGAGACCCAAAGAAAGGGAGAAGAGGAAAAATGAAGAGAAGGGTGGGGTGGGGAAGCAGAGGAATAAGAGTCAATACTAGGAAGTGGAAGACAAAGTTGCCTCGAGTGAGGGAAATTGCTTGCTGTACTCAGTTTGGCTTTTCTGTGTGTGTGCTGCACACACACACACACACACACACACCCCAGATCCCTGCCATGTATTGATCTTTTTTTTTCATTCACAGGAGATGGATAAGGCTAGATCCTATTTGCATAGATAATGTTTCAAATGTGGTTTTCATGTGAAGTAACTTTGAAAAGGAGCTCTTTGAGTGAGTAAAGGAAAAGTAGAAAATAGTTAAATTGGGAGACAGACGATAGGTGCGCATGTGTCTGAATGGGAAAGCTCAAATGCATGATTTAAATTCATTGAACTTCCCAAGATAAAACAAGTTCAGTGCTAGAGAACTGGGGATGAGTGCATTTCACCAGCATTTGTTGAGCAACTGTTAAGAACCAGGCCCTGTGCTAGGGCGGAGGATACAATGCGCTTTCCGAGGACTTTATAACTTCACTCAAGAAGGTCATGCATCGTGGGTTGGGGGACTCTGATAGGCTGGTTTTGTTGAAAAAGGTCAAAGCTCTGGATTTCTCTTTTCCAAACTGGGGCTTCTACCAAACATGTGTCTCTTAACAGTGTTCTGAAGGGGGAAGATGTACAAGAAGGAAGGTTTACTGGCCCGACAGAGCTTAGCATGAAAGGAATAATGGACATTTTCTGGTTTGCAGCATTGCAATAGAGGACTAGGAAGCACTGCACAGAGGATGTGTGGCTGGCGTTCACTCCACCTTGGGGCATGCCTTGGGGATGGTAGGAAGACAGATCAAGTATGGAACAACCTCTTCTTCTTCCCCCTGCTCTCCAGCCTTTATGTTCCTTCACAGTACACATTAGGTTGCTACTAATGTCAAGGAGAGCTTTAAAGGAGAAGCAGAACTCCAGCATCATAGCCTGGGAGTTGTGTTTCATGGGTGCGAGGTCAGCCAGGCAGCCGTCCTTAATTCCCCTTGTGCTAGTGAACTGCATGAACGGTTTTCAGGCTTTCTTAACACCGACGGCCGGGACCCTCTTCCTTCTCTCACACTGGCCTCGTCTCTGCATCACAAGCCTGACTCCCGGTCTTGCAATCCGGCATAAGTGGGAGTTACAATTCTACTTTTCAACCCTACCTTGCCTGCTAGCATTGGCTCCAAGACACTCAGAAGAAAAGTGATGATTTGCAGTTCTGGCTGAATTCCTTGGGAAAAGGGTTTCCAGAGTGAATTAAACTAGAATCCATGGCAACATGGTCATTATTTAATTCTTTTTAAGACTATTGTAACTTAGTCATTAAGTACATGTTTTCTAAGGTTTCTAGAATTTCATGTTTCTAGAATTCAATGTTTCTACAATTCAATGTATTAGGTAGCAATTGTGTATGTTTTGCTAAAGAAAATACCTTACATGGGAAACAATGGAAGATTGTGTATAATTCAAGTAGTTCATGAATATTTATGTAAAATATGCCAATTTAATTTATATGTTTTTGTTGGGAACTTCATTACTATATATCAGCAACATGACAAACGTCACTCTTTTTGTCTCTTTTTTAAGCGGACTATGTGTTGAATTTGTCACATTATTCCTGGTTGAATATTTTGGACGAATCTTCCCCGTTGAAGTGATTTTTCCTTCCCTCAAGGATTATCCTTTAGTTGGGTGGATTAAAAACATTCCTTTATATTAGTGCTTTTCCAAGTGAACATACAAATCACTAGGGATTTTGTTAGAGTAAAGATTCCTTGTAGTGGTTCTGGGATTCTGAGAGTCTTCATTTCTCAGATCTCCCAGGTGTTATAGATGCTATTACAGACCATACTTGGAGTAGCGAGGCTACATCACCTTAGAGTGAAAGCGCAACTTTACCTATCCTCATACTTTCCAAAAATCTGTGTTCATGTCTACTTTTTATAGACATTCTTTTTCTTTAAAGGAATAAACAGCAAAAAATAAAATGTCATAAAGCCATAAAACTGGTTTTCTGAATGTGTCATAAACATCACAATACTTAGTAACATGCACAGAAAATTACTTCTACGTTTTACCTGTGCCAAGTGCAGAAAAGGGGCATAGTTCCAGTTGGGTACCATTCTTATCAGTCATGAAGTGACATGTGATGTGTTTCTCCCCTTGATTTCCCCTTCTTGCTTCTCCCCACATAAGGAAGTTCCATTTTTAACATGAGAAAAGATGCAGTTTTGCTCAGAGTTAACAAAAATTCGGCCATCTCTTGCTTGGCCACGTCTGAGAAAATCGTACAAAAACATTCTGTATTAAAGTTAGAACTCTGTGTGGCTACATGGGCTGAAGGTTTTGGTTAACCTGAGCTTAAAAAAATGGCACCCAGGTCTTTAACATCTTGTTGTGAACTCTTTCTAGATATTGAGATCCTCCCCTTGCTATGGACTTCCGGTTGTGGGGGTCTCACAAAGGGATGCAGGATTGGTGTAAATGAGGGTCACACAAATTGTCTGCGTTGAGCATGCCAAGTGGTTTTTGTCGGGCTCTTTTGGTCATACATTTTTGCTATAGCTATTGTGAAATATAATGTCATGAATCTATCATGCACCATTAATGAAGAAAGAGGAGCAGAGTTTCAGTCTGTGGAAACAGACTGAAATATCAAGCAGATGGTGTTCTACAACATTTATTTGGGAAAATGTGTATCTGTTACATAATCCAAAATATGTCTTTTTCACATTTAAAATATTTGGGTCATGATTTTGAGAGTTTTTATTGGATTGTTTTTTAAACTGAGAAGAAGGAGAAAGGTAACTGTATTTTAAAACATATTTGACATGTTACTAATAAAATTTTATTTCTGGTGAAATGTAGGTGTCTTTGTTATATAGGGGAGGTGGGACCCTGCATTGCCTGGCAGCTGCTTTGCGTCCCTTGATTTCAGAGGTCTCATTTTAAAGGCATATGGCTCTATTTCCTTCAGCAGTTTGTTTTCAACACGAAGCTCGTTTAAGGATTTGGAAAACATTCTCAGCCTCCTGGCACATTTTCTTCGTTAAAACTGACCCTTGAATTGCTGTTCAGGGAGCATGAGTCACCAAAAAACACAACAGAATTCACTCTCTATTTAGGCCTTATTGGGCATCATAATTCTACGTCTCAGAGCCGAAGATGGCTCCTCTACTGCGGAACAGTGACAGGTGCACAGCGTTACCTGTGATTCTATGGGATGAAGTGGGCAGGCAGAATGCCCCTGGGAGGCAAGGTCTTTCTTTTTCTGCAGGAACCAGTGTTTGCCATCAGTTTGCAAACCAGTGACTACAGTGTCTCCACATACCACTGACTGATGGGAGGCCCCAGGGCCCAGTGTAAGGTGTTTTCAAGCACACAGCATTTTCTTGTGCACATCAAGCAAGTCACAGGTTGGAGTAAGTGTGCAGATGCTTGAGGAACCCATTGACCAGGGAAATGACAGAGAATTTTGTGTATGTGTTAGCAGAAACTTGACACACACAGGGATGAACAAAGCTAAGACGGTAACAGAGAGAGCCAATCAGCCTCATCCAGGGACGAAGAAATAACCTTATATATGATGTAAATGCCTTACACCATGCCTGGCATATGTTTGGTATTAACATACAGTGTTGTTCAAGTGATTCTTAGCTTTTGCTTTCATAAATGGATGTGTTTTTTCCCCCATTTGTTATCTGCTTTTAAGTCCAAAGGTAGATGTTTACACTTTTACTTCCTGTTGAAGGTTGATGGAACACACACACATGGAGTAACATAAGTTGCAGGTGCATGGGCTTCTTCCTCTAGTACTACTAAGAAGCAGAAGAGGAGCAGAGGTTTGGCACAGCAGCAAAGTGCGCTCTTGGGATGCCGGCTTCCCATCATGGATTGCCTGAATTCAAGTTCCGACTCGGCTTCTCATCCAGCTTCCTGCTAATGCACACTCTGGGAGGCAGTAGGTGATGACTCCGATACTCGGGTCCCGCCACCCATATGGGAGATCTGCATGGAATTCTTGGCTGCAGCATTCTGCCTGCCCCAGCCTTGGCTGTCACAGGCATTTGGGGAGTGAGCCAGTAGGTGGAAGACCTCTCTCTGGGTGTCTCTTCTCTCTCTTTTAAATAAAGCTTAAAAATATTAAAAATTAAAAAAAGAAGTGAAATAAAGGGTGAGCACAAAGTGTTTCTCTCAGTCAACTTGGAATTTGCATAAGAATTTCAGTCCACAGTGAGTTGCATACATGTAGTAGAGTCCGTAGGTTGATGCTCATCCAGGCAACGCAAGTTTTAACTGTAAAACAAAGCTCCACTACCAAAAGGATTTTCACATCTCCTTTTCCTGTTCTCATTCCCTTGCTCTGTTCCTCCACCTCATTCTACCCTGTTCCTTGTCTGCAGCCTCTACTTCTGACCTGATTGCTATCAATGAAGTGGACCAAGAGCCAGGTATTGCATTTATGACAAATGTTTCTAAATCCTTGGTTAAATCTCCAATCATTTCTTCATATTGCAGTCATTTTATTATAATTCTTCCATGTGTTCCACAAGGTGGGAGCCCCCTCCAAACACTTAGTTATCTGGAAGGCATGTTTGCCAACAGTGCTGTGTAAACCCAACTTATAAATATTTATCATTACTCTTCTCAAGGTAAAACAAAATACATCCAGTGAATTATTAGTGGTTCACACATACAAGTAAAATAACACCACTCTGACTAATTATTGTCATGGCGTGTCTCTAGCCTATGAGGAAACCAAAGCAAGTCTTATCTGAACGTCTCACATTCCTCTTCATCAGTTTGTGATACCAACATCGGTCACAATTATTTGTCAGATTAAAGGCAGACTAGGCAGGAAGCCTAGTCTTTCTCTTGGGAAAGCTTACCCACAGTGCAGCAAGGCCATCTCCAATTTGTCACCAGCCTAGTGAAGCCAGTCCAGCAGAAGGTGAGACCCCTGCAGGTGCTAACCCCACCCCTGGAGGCCGCTGTGGCTCCAGTGTCAACTGATGTTGCCATGGAAACCATGATCACCAAGGCAAGGCCTTGGCAGTTGTGGTTACTGTGAATATGGAAAGTCTCCTTCCAACGCAGTCTTATCCTGATTGTCTTGTTTTTATAAAACACACATAGACAAAACTTCTTTTCATGTCAAGCTTCCAAGGACCTATGTGCTTAGCTTTCGAAGTCAGCTGACGACATTCTTCCTTGTGCTGTCGTGGATAGGTCTTTGGGAATGGGAAAGGGATCTGAGACACCAAGTAGCCCACTGTCTCCGGTTTGGCTTTTGTCCACCTCCCCGGACCCCTGCATAATTGAATGGACAGGAATTGGTGCAGTTGGCAGAAGGGGTAGGGAGCTTTCTGCCTGGGGACTAGAGACAGTCAAGGTATAGGAAAGTACATTTATGGAAGCAACTGGACAGTAGGTGCTTAAGTATTGAATATATTTAGAGGAAAAGAACCCTGGGCATAGAACCAAAATTGAGAGAGTGTTGTTATTTTTTCTTCTTTGATGTTGTCCTAGGATTGTGAGTGCCTTTCAGACAGATGGCTGCAATAGTTGCTACTCTCACTTGCATATTGTACAATTAGTTTATTTTCATTGGTTTGGTTTCATCAGAAGCCTTTATATTTGTTCGTAGAGTACTGGTCTACTGCTTTATAGACTTGTGTCCTATTATCCTGAAACAAAAGCCCAGTGTTTTTGGATATAGGGTGAGGCAGCACCTGAGAGAGTTTAGATGAGGCCTCAGTCCAAAGTGAGATTGAAGAATTGGGAAAATGTTGCTGAGAGTGATGAAGATGCACACGCTTTGTACCTGGACACTAATATGACAAACACTTCAGTAATGGTACCACCCTCTATTTCTTTTTTTTTATTTTTACCTTTTATTTAATAAATATAAATTTCCAAAGTACAGCTTTTGGATTACAGTGGCTTTTCCACTCACCCCCATAACTTCCCTCCCACCTGCACCCCTCCCATCTCCCGCTCCCTCTCCCCTTCCATTCACATCAGAATTCATTTTCAATTATCTGTATATACAGAAGATCAATTTAGTATATATTAAGTAAAGATTTAAACAGTTTGCACCCACACAGAAAAACAAAGGGTAAAGTACTTTTTGAGTACTAGTTGTAGCATTACTTCACATTGTACAACACATTAAGGACAGAGATCCTACATGGGGAGTAAGTGCACAGTGACTCCTGTTGTTGACTTAACAATTGACACTCTTGTTTATGGCGTCAGTACTCTCCCTAGGCTCTTGTCATGAGTTGCCAAGGCTATGGAAGCCTTCTGAGTTCGCCAACTCTGATCTTATTTATACAAGGTCATAGTCAAAGTGGAAGTTTTCTCCTCCCTTCAGAGAAAGGTACCTCCTTCTTTGATGGCCCGTTCTTTCCGCTGCCATCCCTCTATTTCACATCTAGCACTTTCTAAAAACAATTCTGCTAGTAAACGCTTCCCCAAATGAGAGTTTGGGGGTCCAGAATTGTGGTGCAGTGAGTTAGGCCACCGCCTGCAATGCTAGCATCCCATGAGTGCTGGCTCAAGTTCCGGCTGCTCTACTTCCTATCCCCCTCCCTGTAAATGCAGAGGAAGATGGCCCATGTGCTTGGGCCCCTGCATCCATGTGGGAGACTTGGATGGTGTTCTGGGCTCCGGGCTTCAGCTTGGCCTAGCCCTGGACATTGCAACCATTTGGGGAATTAACTAGCAGATAGAAGATAATCTCATTGCTTCTCAGACTTTTGGCTAAGATCAAGTGTGGAAGATAATCTCTCTGTCTTCTCCTCTGCGTCTCTCTCTCTCTCTGTAACTTTGCCTTTCAAATAAGTACATAAGCCTTTAAAAAATGAGCATTTGTGGGCAAGTCGTTGACTTTTAACCTTATCTTTCTATGCAAATGTATAGGTAACATATCACAATAAGTTCACTTGCATTTATGGACAATTCTTGTTTCCATTATGAAAAGCCACATCAAAGGCTTCAGTGGGTCTTGCAGATTGGCTTCTTTTGGGCATCTATTTGTGGCTTCATGAAGCAGGTTGACTGTTGCTTGGGGATACTGAGATTTTAAAGATAATATTCTGGCCCCAACAGGCTAAACTTTAGCAGGTATGAGAAAAGTACACATAAAAATCTAAACCAAAGTAGATTTGCTTAAGTTGCATGAAGAAATACAGGATTGTGCTATGAAGAAGGAAAAGATTCTATCCAGTGGGTAACATGAGTATGTATGAACGGAAAGGCAGAGTTCCACAAAGACTTTTCACAATTTTTCTTATTTAGATAAGGTGAGAAAGTTTTGTGTATTTCATATATACAAAAGTAGCAGCTTAGCAATGCTTCCCACTCTGCC